CGCGCACAACGCGGGCGCTACGAGAAGGCATGGGGCCTCCACGTGATCACGCGGGGATAGGCCTGCGTCAATCAGAAGCTCCCGAGCGGCATCGCCTCCGCTTGCTGCGAGAGGTCGCGGTTAATATGCGGGCGAATTTGGCGGCGTCCGACTCCTTCAAGAGCTCTCAGCGCCCGTCCCTGAGAAGTTCAACAGGGGATCGCACTATAAGTACCAAAAGAGCAGCAATGCGAAACTGCGTCATTTGAATCACATCACCAGGCCACTGCACATGAAGCGCACTTTGTCATGCACGGGCGCCCAACGTGCCCATGCGACGCAGTGGCGGTCCTAGGAGCCTGCGGACGCCAGGTAAATCGACTCCTCATCCTCTCCCTGCCCACCCTTCATCTCCACTCTCCTCCTCCATCCTCCTCCCTCTTTCCTTCCTCCCCCTCCTCGTCCTCCTCCTCCTCCGTATGTGTGTTTTGTTTGTCGTTGGAAGGGGGTGGCAGATTTCCCTAAGGCCAGTGCATCTTGACTGCTGCAGCTTCGCGGCCCCTGGCCTCTAGCAACAGCTCCACGCAGGTGGATTGGTACAGTTTCGCTAGGGATGCGTTCCAGGGGGTCCAGAACGGCTGTTGGGAAGCTGCTTCGTCGACTGCAATCTACCGCGCGCGCCAGGGCTCCCAACCTGTTTGGGCTGCTGCGTTATGGGCCCCGTGGACTGTTAATTCACCTTCGAGCCCGAACATGTCGCAAACGCCGCGTGTGTTCCGCGCGTTGCCTCCAATGGTAAATACCCGGGGCCACCCCGTCGCAACCTCTTCAACCACGAAACTAAACTCCAGGCCATTCTCGAGCGCGAGCTTGGGAAGTGGGAACTTGTCAGACATTCGGGGTCGAGTTGGCAATCGGAAGCAGCTTTGACGTCGCTGCAACTTTTCATTGCGAGTACTTCAGTCCGAAACCCGTTCGAGTGAGATGATCCGAGCGTGGCGCCATGCGTAATCTCAAACTGTGACATTCCATGGGATTTGTTCTGCGTGGCGTTGAAGGCTGCGCATGTTTTCGTACACTCAGATCCAGGTTTGCAAGCGACAGCCCACGCACCCTCGCAAGCCTTAGAATAGCTCCATCCCGAAGTCATGTGCTTCAATCCGTTCACGATCGTTGCAACCATATCGATACCGAGAGATCCGCGATTGTTTGGCTCGATTACCATGAACCTACAATGTGTCTTGCGCTTCCAGCGCAGCTCTGGATATTTGGCCAACTCGGACGCGATCGAATCCCAAGCTGTGGCCACCTACCTCCCCGTCGGACGTGAACTTCGAAATCGCCTCCAGGAGACTCTCCCGCAGAAGACACGTTGCTTAAACAAGCCGCGCCCAGCCGTGGCGGCGAAGAGACAGCGCGGAGCCCAGAAAGGAAACAACAGTTTCACGTCGGGGAAGGTGTGGGAATTAAAAAACAGCTGCCTCCAACAGTGCCGGGCGCGCCGCCTCGATGGCTCTCTGGGTCGACGTGGCCATGGCGCTGGGCACGCGGTGCAGGTCGACAAAAACCAACCAAAGGCGCTGCTTGAGCAATGCGCCGACGAGAAAATCGAACAGTCACCTTGCGACTCCGCCGACCCTGTCGGGCCATCAGGTGTGTGAGTCGGTCTTGGAGGAGTTGGGCGATCCGCTTAGCGAGGGCTTAGCACCCCCCTCAACAAACCACGCTAAACCAATTAGCGAACCTCCGCTAAACAGTTTAGCTAACCTCTGTATCTGCTTTACCCAACTCTACACAAGCGAATATAGAGAGGTAGTACCTTGTATCGTAAGTATAGCCAAGTCCTTGCTAAACCACCTAACAATGTCACAACTGATCTTAAAACTTTGGGCAAACCGTGGGTCCAATGATAAATACTTACACAACCCGTCGTAAAGATCACAAGACCTATATCTGCTTACCAGGACATAGGCCGCATTGCCACTGCATACTATGACCTTACTTGGGTGTTTCTTGGGGTTACCAAGGACATGCCAAACCATTGCATCATGCCCAAACTCTGGCGAGGACCCCGTCCCTCCAAGCACCCCCCCCCTGAGGAAGGAGGGGCGTCGACCAGGCCGCCGCCTGCGCCGCCGCCGCCGGAGCCAGGGGGAGGACACCCCGTATTACCACAGCCCGACATACCCTGAGAGCTGACGTTGTTAAAAAAATGCAACAGCGAGAAAAATCACGCCCCGAGCCCTAGACCCCATCGTTCTGCGTCATGTTTTTTGGAGCCCGGTCGATCTGCCAGGGTCCCGGGGCCAAACACATGGCGAAAACGTCCGTGGAGAACAAATTGCAACGCCAGGCTCTCAGTGTACTCTGGGCGAACACGCTCAGCGTGAGAAAAACTGCCACGCCCGGATCCCAAGGAGCCCGGCGCCAGCCCGGCACCCGCCTGCGCTGCGAGAAGACCGGGGCGGGCCCGCGCAGCTGCTGAGGCCCTCCGACGTTCGATGCGGCCGGTGGGCCTGAACTGGCTGGTCCGCGGCGGCGAGCCCGGGTCGGGGGCGCGCAAACATGGATTAGCGATCCATGGATTTAATGCGCGGTCGCGCCAAATCCCTGGATCGGGGGAGTTGCCCTCCCCAAAATGTGGCCGGTGCCGCCTCGCTCGGCGGCGGAAATCCGCGATTTCCCATGGAACCGTGACCCGTCGCTAATCCACACCCCCATGATCCATGTTTGCGATCGCCAGAGAAGGAGAGGCCCTCTCAGAAGGCTAGGAGGTCCCCCGGCCTTCCGTCTTTTTTTGTTGCAAGCCTTCCCCGAAGACGCAGAACACTTCTCAGAGGGCGCGGGGGCTTCTGAGAAGTCCCGCCGCCTGCTGGGAAGGCATTCTCCTTCTCATTTCGCCCTCTCGCTTGCCGCCGAGCCTGGCCATCGCTCGGACGTCCATTCCCTGTGTTGTTTTCGGTTTCGTGCGTGTTTTTTGTCCTCCAAATGATCAAGGAAACTCGTCGATGGTCCTCGCCGAAGGGAAAAACGCACACGTCCGAGCGATGCCAAGCCCCAGAAAATCTGTCAGGAAGTGGGGGGGTGAAGCCGAATCCGCTCAGAATCGGTCCCTGGAGCCCTCCCTGGGTCCATCTGGCGCAGCGTTTCGCCCCGGATCCGTTTTTCTGGCTATCCCGTTGCCCGAAGGCGGCCCCCCGCGGGAGGCCGCACAGAGGCAACAGAAACCCTCTCAGATGAAGGAGCCCCTGGGACACACAAATAAAGACACATAAGTAAAAATGTTCCCCATATTTTCCCATACTTTCTGGATTTCTGTCTTCCCCCCCCACTTCCCACATCTTCCCATATGTTCTGGGGAATCGAGGGTGAATTGTGTCTGTGTGTTTCTTTTCCTCCTGACAAGACCCAGACCCTCGCACCACTTCCCCGCCTTCTGGGGCGCCCGAATTGGGTACGGAAACAATGGGCGCGATGCTCCACAGAAAAATGAAGGGGCCCCAGGACACACAAATAAAGACACCCAAATAAAAGAATCCCCATATGTTTCCATATTTTCTGGGTTTTTGTCTTCCCCCCCACTTCCCATATTTTCCTATATTTTCTGGGAATCGACGATTAATTGTGTCTGTGCTTTTTTTCCCTCCTGAAGAAATGCTGTCCGAAACTGACAGCGGCCGCTGATCGGCAGGCGGCCGCCTGCCTCGAATGGAAACCGCCCGCGCCTGCACCGACAGCGAGCCCTGCTCCAAGTGGACAGGGATTCCTGTCGGTCTTCGTGCCCCTTCTTTCCGTGCCCTGAAGTCGGGCCTGTCCCCCTACAGGGGGCTTTTCGACGGAAAAAAAAAAAAAAAAAAATATATATATATATATATATATATATATATACCCCAAGCATAGTCAAACAATAATCCAAAAATAGTCTGGGAACTATTTTGGAGGTATTTCTGTCCTTTTTGAATATGTTTAATGTATGTTTTTAGCGAAAATCCCCCTGTAGGGGGACAGGCCCCTTCTTTCCGTACCCACTTCTGTCATACCGATCCTTCCTGGCCCAAGACAATCCTGGACCTCCTCAGACATCCCAGCTGGTCCCAACTCTGACTGGCCATCGCTCGGACGCCCATTTCCCATGCCTGCTTTAGGTTCCGTGCGTGCTTGAATAATCTCGGTGATCAAAGAGGATGCTCCTCGATGGCCCTCGCCGGACAAAAATGCACACATCCGAGCGATACCTCGCCGAGGAGCCCTCGGTCGAGCGTTGGCAGAACTGGGTTTAGTGGGACCTGGTTTAATGATGTGTACTGGGGGACGCCCACCCGCCTCGTTCCACTGACCGGAACTGCCGTCACCCGACGAAACACCAGCTACGGCAGACCTGGTTTCGTCATCCTGGCCAATTTTGGGGCTCTGGAGTCCTACCACTAACCGAGTCCCCTCACCTGCATGGGGTCCTGGCTATCCCTGAGATCCGACGTTGCAAAACAAATTGCAACATCGACGAATTCACGACCAGACCACCGCACCCCGTCTTTCTGCGTCACTTTTTTCGAATTGGACCGCTCTGTGAAGGCCCCCGGTCCCGACATGGAGCGAGGACGCCTGGCTCGATAAAAAGGCGTCGCCAGGATCTCAGGGATACCCGACTCGGAGCGCCCCCCCGGGAGGCATCGCCGGGCGCCCCCCGGGGGGACTGAGGCCTCGGGTCGGAGTAGATGGGGTCGGACGATCGCGCCGCATCGCCGATACATCGGCGATGCATCGGCGATGCATCGGCGATGCACCGGCGATACCGATGCATCGTCGACGTCGGCGATGCAGCGGCGCCGTCGGCGCGAAGCGAATCGGGCTTTACATTGAACCGCATCCGCGATGCCTCGGCGATGCGGCGCGACCCTCCGACCCCATCTACTCCGACCTCGTCTAGGAGGCCTAGACGGGAGCCCCCCCGAGCCCCGAGCGACTTCGCGGGGGACGACGCCGTGCCCGCGAGGCCCCCGGCCGGGGAGGCCGGGCCGGGCCTGCGCAGCTCGACGGCCCCCATGCGGCGCGTCTGCAGCTGCACGAAGTCCTGCCGGGCGGCCGCGGCGCGACGAGGAGGAGGAGGAAGGAGGCAGGAGGAGGCAGGAGGAGGGAGGAGGAGGGAGGAGGAGGGAGGACCAGGAAGGAGGGGGAGGAGGAGGAGGAGGAGGAGGAGGAGGAGGAGGAACGAACGAACGAACCACCACATCGGACAGCTGTCCGGGCCTGCTCAGACCAGGTGGGTGAGGCCATGGCCTCCTGTAAACATAGCGACATGCACAGGAACTGCGAGACACACAATACATGATTCTGTGCAACACACAAAAAGTTATGACGGAGGAGGAGAGGAGGAGGAAGTCCTGGTTGTGAATGTCGGCGACGTGCTGATGTATTTGTGTTCGAGTGTCGACCACGTGGTGGTGTCTTGAGCTGAGCGAACCCAAGTGAGGTCGTTCGGCTTGCCCTGCTCGTTGGTTGGCGTGGGCGCTGGGTGCAGGTCGGGTCGGTGTTCTTGAAGGAAGCTGATGAGGTCGTCGTCCCAGCGCTTGCGCTGGCCGCCGTGGTGTCTCCGGCCACGTTGCCGTGAGTTCTCTCCTGGTTGCCAGTGCAGTGCACGCCACGTCCATCTGGTGGGCTCGTGTTTGGCTACCTTGGATGCCATGCGCCACGACCTCTGTCTGTGAATCGTCTCCCAGTTTTCGATGTGGTGGTGCTGCATGAGCTGTTCTGCGCGCCGCGTGGCTCGCTGGATGTAGTCGACCCACGGCTCCATCGCGTCCTCGTCATTGTTGTTGTCGTTGCTATCGCTGTGTCGGTCGGTCGTGTCTTGTTGGGGCGCGTTGCTCTCTGCGGCGTCGCTGCTGCTGGTTTCTTGGTCAGGTGCTTGAGTGGTCGTGCGGTCGTCCGCGTGTTCTTGGGTGCTACTCGTCGGGGTCGTTTGGCGGGTAGCGCGTCGCCTTGGTGTCCTGATGATCATGCGGAGCATGCGTCGTTGTGTTCGCCGCAGGTGTTGCCGAAGAGGTTCCGTGAGCGTCCATGTCTCTGCTCCGTAGAGTGCTGCGGGTGTCACGGTCCGGCTGAAAAGTCGAAGTCGGTGTGCCAGTGGGTAGTGCTTGCTTGTCAGCTCCTGTTTGTGCGAAGTGAACGTTGCCCATGCTGCCCTCGTACGGTGGTGGATTTCAGTCTCCATCGCGTCGTGAAAGCTGATGAGCTGACCTAAGTACTTGATGCTGCCATCGTGGGGAAGGATGTCGATGTCCATGCCCTGAATGTGTACTGTGCGCGAGCTTGCCCTGCCAGTCCGTCTGGTCTGGTTGCTGAGTATTTTGGTTTTGGAAGGGTGCAACTCAAGTCCGTGAGGTCGCACTGCGCGCACGATGTCGTCGAGCATCGCGGTGAGGCGCGGTAGAGTTTGGCTAGTCAGGAGCACGTCGTCGGCGAAGCGGAGGTTAGTGAGCGTGGAGGTGGTGGTGAATCCTAGCTGCACTCCCTTGCCCTTCTTTTGCCAGTCGGTGATTAGTGGTGCAAGACTGTGCTGTAGCAAAGCGTTGAAAAGCAAGGAACTGAGCGGGTCGCCCTGCTTCGTTCCCCGGAGGAGACTGAAGGACTTGCTGTTGACGTCAGTCCTGACCGTGGCCGTCTGCCCCTCGTACAGCTGTTGGAGTAGTGAGATGTATCCTCGTTGGACGCCCTGCGCCTCCAGCGCTGCCCACATGCTATTGTGTTCGACGGTGTCAAAAGCTTTTTTGAAGTCTAGCGCCGCTACCCACAAGTTCTGGTTCCATTCGTGCGCGCGCTCACGGAGAATATGGAAAGCGAATAAGTGGTCGGTGGTTGAGTGTCCTGGCCTGAAGCCGGCCTGGTCTGCAGTTTGTCGGGAGTCAAGTGTTGGTTGGAGTCGGTTGTAGAGAAGTCTGCTGAAAAGCTTGTAAAGCAATGGTATTGTGCATATGGGCCGATAGTTTTGTGGAGGCGTTAGATCCCCACTCTTGGGAATGACCGTGACGACAGTGCTCTTCCAGCTGGTCGGCGGCGGAGCGTCGGACTGGATGATCGCGTTGTAGAGGTGGAGAAATGCGCCGTGCAATTCTTCCGTGCCGTCCTTCAACATTTCTGCTCGTAGGCCTTTGGTGTCTGGAGCCTTACCAAGCCGGATACCTCTAATCGCCTTTTCCAACTCTTCGCCAGTGAAGGGTGGAAGGTCGTCGCTGCGTCGCTCTCGTTGCGTCGGCTTGGCCGTTGTGTCGTATAGCTGCTCGTAAAACTCCGCGAATATGTCTGCAATTTCTTGCCGGGCCGTGCGTTTTGAGCCTCCTTTGTCTGTCATGTGAGTGATGAGATTCCGCTTTCTGCGTGTCTTGATGCGCGGGATACTTTTGAGGTCTCTGAACTGTTCGAGCACGCTTCCTATGTGGGCCCGTCGTGTCCGCCGCTTCTGCGCGCGGATCTCCTGCTGTATCAGTTTGCTCAGTTGTTTGCGGGTGCGGTGGTCGTTGTTTG